TTTGACATTACATTTTAATGCAAATGTTGGGGATGATATCCCTAATATGATAAATAAATAAGAAAAGGTTAAATGACCTGTATTTCTATAGTGCCTTCCAGGGTTCCACAGCACCCTAACACGTGCAGTCTTTTGCTTACACACACACACATTCACGTGCTGGTGGTGATAAGCTGCAACGTAGCCTCAGCTGCCCTGGGGCGCATTGACAGGAGGGAGGTTTCACCACAACACTGGCGCCACCAGCAGGCAAGCAGGGTGAAGTGTCGCCCAAGGCCACGACTGCAACAGACTGAGCGGGACTCGAACCTGCAACCCTCCAGCTATGGGGTGGACACCTGACTTGCCTATTATATATAAAAACTTTTGTTTAAAGTTCAATAAATCAGTCCAACGTAAACTGAAAACAGGAAGATGCTCATAAAACAGAATAAATAGCATTTTATTTATTTTTACCATTGCAAAGACATAGGCTGGTCAAGAGATTCCATAGTGTTCAACATTCATAATGCTAAAACCTTTAGATTTTTTGGTCATACCTTTTAATGAGTTGTCAGAAACAGGTTGGGGGGGTGTAGAACCACTCCCTCTACTCCACCTGCTGCTGTGAGACGTCAGTCACTTGGACAATCGTAAAATGCAGTATTTTTTTTTCCATAAAAATGACTAATTTAATGTCTTGTATGTTTTTCCGCAGTAACAATTAGCACAGTTTGTCAAGGCTTGTTCAAAAGGAGTAACACCTTATTTATTTATTTATTTTTTGCCAAAACAGTTTTAAAACAAACATTCACAATAACCTACAAGAGTTATTGTGTCTACGGGAGAAATAACCTCCTGAAAGCCCACTAGTGAGGCTAATAACCCAGCTAATCAACACTGCACACTTGTAAAGTGCAAGTGCACCATGGAGCACAGCAAAATCCAGCTACTGCATCTTGACGTCCACTTGGGCAGCCAATAAACACGAGAAACTGCCCTCACAAAGCAAAAGACTTTCAATCAGAACACCGTCACCAGAGATGCACCGAAAATATTAGCTGGTCATTGGAATTGGCTACATTGGCCAATTCTTTTGATTGCCAATGGTCATGCTGCATCAAAAACATATATATATATATATACTAGTTTTCTTGGGTTGTGAACTCACGGTTGCTTAGCTTTAGGCACAGCTTTCATCTGCACTTTTGTGAGGTTTATGTTACAGAGAGCAGCTCAACAGTGAAATATGTTGTTTTCTGTGCAACAAAGTTGAAATGATCCATGCAATGAAATAAAATGTGATATATTTTAAAACTTCCTGCTGGTTATGTGGTGATTACATTAAAATATCTTAAAATACCTTAAATATAAGTAAAAAAAATCTCCGTAGTTGATGACTAAAGGATTTAAACGAATATCAAAAAAAAGGCTTAGTATCTGATGCTGGTTTTAAATAAGCTCAACGTTCTCCAAATGTGATGTCCATAAAATCTGCATATTTTTAACAATTTGATAAGGAATGTCTGATAGTAGTGGCCAATATTAGCATTAAAATGTGATTCTGGCAAATTTCGCTATCGTTTTTCAGACTTTAACACAACTTTTACATATCATGCACACGTTTAGTTTATGAGATATTTTTGTTTGTTTGGAACAAGTGACCTAACTTCAATTAAAGTGTCATATTTACACAAATAATGTTTAAAGTACGTATGATAGGAGACATGCAATGTAAGTTAGTTAAAGGGAGGCGGGGCCCCACATAATGTATTGATGTAGGTCTATTTCAGGAGAAGAGTTATACAATCATATATTGGTACAAACATCCCATATCTATCTATATCTATATATATCTATATATCTATATATATATATATATATATATATATATATATATATATATATACATACATACATACATACATACATACATATATTATTATTATCTATTTAGTTTTTAATCTAATGTTGGCAGAATAAACGTCTTATACAGCTAGAGTTTTTACTCTGCCTTTTTGTCTTGGTCTCCCTCCAGTTTCTCCCAGTTTCATAGTTTCATCTATTTTCTTTTATTGTATAAACTCCTCTTCTCACTCCTGTCTGACATGGCTGTTTATGACATTACAGTGAGTGGCTTTAGGGATTTTTATTTTCCGAGTGCAGCCTAATTGCTTCAGGTGTTTGATACAGAGAGCACTGTGGGGGCCCTGGTCTAAGAGGAGGCGAGAGACCCCCCCCCCCCCACACACACACATACGCGTGCAAAATCTAAAGCACGAAGAGACACATAATGTACACCACTCATTCACTCACTAACAGGCTGGACTCCCAGGGCTCTATGGTACAGCGCAGCGTTAGATTTTTTTCCCCATCAGCAGAATGCAGGGATGAGCTGAGCTAATTGAGCTGGGAGGCCAGGCTGGGGGGATAGCCGGCTGTGGTAAGGGAGGGGGACACAGCCTCGTCACTTCCTTCTTTATCCATCCGCTGCTGTGTCTTGGGTCCCATATCTCCAGACCACTCTGCAGCCCAATAACAATGACTAATGCACAGGTCGGTGGTTCCAGAAGTAGATTCATGAGATTTATTATGGGATTTACTTGCACCACAGTACAAATACAGGCAGAAAAAATCTGGTGAATCTCTGCCTTTTCATATTCCAAACAGCAGCAGACTGGCTGACAACAAAAGCATTTCAACTGCTCCATTTGAGGAAAAATTAAAACATTACATGCTATCCGATGGGCCCAGCGAGGCCCATCGTAAAAGCCACAGCAGGCTGCTGAGACAGATACTCAGAGATGTTTCCATCCTTTAGCCGCACTTGGGGACTGATTATGGTCAGGCAAACTGCCCTTACCTGGAAAGTCACTTTCACTTTCTCGTCCACCATTTGTTAGTAGGGCTAATGTCTCATTAAGCCTCGCAGAGGGGAAATGATGCGGTCTTTGGGTGAAGGTTAGGCTCCCAGCTTATCACGAGACCAAGAAAAAAAAAGAGAGACTGATTATCATCTTTCACAGAAAAGTCCTATTTGTGTTACTGCCTGAGCTGCTTCATTACCCATAATCTATTAGCCCTCCCTCAAATAAAAGTTAAAACATTTAGGCATAAAGATGAATGCCTGATCACTTTTGCATGGCTCTCTGTGGAGAGGAGTGGACAGAAAGTAGATGTGGTGGGGGGAAAATTTTACATTATCAAGGAGATAATTACAAAGCAATCATAAGCTGTTTCCTGTAAAGTGGTAAACAAGCCAAGGGCTTCTGCTCTTTTCCCAAGAATAATTAAAAGTCGTTTTGCATTCTCTGCATCAGTGTCCTTTCCTCCACTCAGTGGCCACCTCTTGGCATAATAAAACTGCCTGGATCTTACAGTCTGGGAGGGGTCCTTCACTCAAGAGTGATTTGGCATTTTAGGGACCTTTTCCTAGCTTGTATTTTCTCATAAATCTGTGATAGAGAATTAAATTGAGAATTCTTAGTTTGACTATCTCTGCCTTTTCCTTTTGATATGCTCTCCTCTTTTCTTACAGGGTATTTCTGAAACAGCTGCAAACTGCTGTGTCACACAGCAGAAACATTTTCAGATATAGACTGAGTCCTCTTAGGCTTTACCTCCAATACCTCAACCTCAGTGAAAAATTCACCCAATGACTGGGCTGAAGTTTGTTGAATAATAAGAAGGTTTGAATTTTGTGTTGTAAACAGTAAGATGAAATACAATTTAATAAGAGTGGATATTGGCTAGAATCTCGTGGATTGATATATATCACAATACAGGGGAGACTATACGATAAATATTACAATACAGTGGAGACGATACGATATGTATCACAATACAGGGGAGATGATAAGATATGTATCACAGTACAGGGGAGACGATGCAATAAATATCACAATACAGGAAGAGACGATACGATATGTATCACAATACAGGGGAGGCGATACGATAAATATCTCTATACCGTGGAGACGAGACGATATGTATCACAATACAGGGGAGGCGATACAATAAATATCTCTATACCGTGGAGACTATATGATATGTATCACAATACAGGGGAGGCGATACGATAAATTTCTCTATACCGTGGAGACGAGACGATATGTATCACAATACAGGGAAGGCGATACGATGAATATCTCTATATCGTGGAGACGATACGATATGTATCACAATACAGGGAAGGCGATACGATAAATATCTCTATATCATGGAGACGATACGATATGTATCACAATACAGGGGAGATGATACGATACTTTGTGATACTAAACGCCAGATGATATTTGCAATTTTTAAGACTGAATTTAGGTGGAAAACCAGGTCATTCATTTCCAAGACACATTTTCACGAGACCTCGTTGTTCCATCAGAATGAAGGTGGTAAAAACTGCTGCCACCTAGCGGTTCAAGTCTGAATTGCACCACACAAAAGAAAATTCTCAAAAAAAAAAGAGACTCATTGCTTTTAGGTATCAATTCAGTGTCATAACACGAAATATTGTGATATTTCAGAGTGTCAGTATTTTCTTACACCCTTACAAAAAGGAATATATGTTAATTCAGTGTTTAGCTAGCAAGGCTGCACAAAACAAAAAACAAAAAATCACAGGATCAAAAAATTATCTAATATCACAATAATTGCAACTGACGAAAAAAAGAATAGGAAGCTCTTTTTAAAATGTTTGTTTAGATTATTCCTATAAAAACGTTTTGTTGTTTGTTGTCAACTATTTGCTTTGACCAGTTTGTGCTTGAAAACCTAAATTTACCAAAATATTGTTTTTAATCGTAAGGAAACATCTGATAATTTCAATAGAATATATTAAAACTTGTGAGTTTGATAAAAATGTTTAATAAGTGTTGGTCATAATTTGTGTAGATTCCTAACATTCAATCTTAAAGAGCAAGTAACGTCTAAATTAACTTTTTTTTGCTGATGAACTGTATAAATGAGTGTCTAATAGTGTTTTAAATGTGTGTATTCATTATTTTAGCATTTTCGTGCATTTTCTTAAAAAATTAAAAATTCTGCCTAAATACCACAGTATAGCTCCACCTTCAGCTTAAAACATAGAATTTGACTCATTTTGAATAAATTTTAGCCAATGGCTAAAGAGTAAGATACTACGTAATCCAGTAGAGTACTACGTAGCAGCTCTGTGTCAACGTTATAAAAGCATCGGGAGTCTCGGCCACGCCTTGTGGCGAGTTGGGAGTTGGATTTGCATGAGAGTGTAGGAGGCTAGCCGTAGTTCAGCATTAGCATATAGCATTAGCATATCCTAGTCTTTAGCATAGCTTTTAGTGTTATACATACTTATTTAGTGTTAGCTTGGCTGTTGGATATTGTAGTTTAGTTACTGTTTGGCTGTTAGTGTAATTAGGAAAGTAGTTCGGGTTTAGTGCTCCATATCGTGTTAGCATGGTGAGATGGTGTAGTGTAGTATGGTTGCGGAGCTCTGTCGGGTTGCACTCCTTTCCGCTGGACTTAGAAATTAGGCGCCAGTGGTTGCGTGTCTGGAAAAGATTCAGCTCCCGCCTGGTGCTGTAGTTTGCAACCAGCATTTTACCCGCGATTCTGCACGTCTCCGTTCCAAGAGGGAGGCTGTGCCCACCGTGGCTCTTCCGCGATTTAGATGCAGCCCACCGACTCTGCTCCCCCACCATGACGGGCTACAGTCTGAGGTGAGTAAGCTAAATAAAAGTTTTAACATCTTCTAAAGACAATTTCCCACCTAAATGCAAAGTTTGAGAGACGTGGTTCACTCCATTTAGCTAATATCAGTCTGCACTGCCTTCGGGCTATTTTGTCAAGTTCACAAAATGTGGAACGGGATGTAAGGTTAGAATCAGCGGCGAATCGGAACATATCTCGAAGCCCTGGCCGACAAAACGGTCCACATGACTGTCAGGCTCAGAGAAAATTCGGGTTGTTTTTGTGTCAGTCGGTAATTCAGCAACAGTGACTCTAAACTGACGCAGCACTAGTTGACAGACAGCATTACAGCGTGAAATCTAGCACAGCGTGACCCGGTTCCGTGAGGAATTCTGTTCAGGAGGTCGCATTTCAGGGTCTCCACATCATATGTGACTGACTTTTACTTTATAATAACATCACACACTAGGAATGTTATAAAGCGCCTATATGGGACAGTTTCTTTTGTATTTTATCTGACTTTATAAACATCAATGTGCTTCTATTTTTTTCAGGCTAAATCTACCCAAGACACTGGCTGTCAGACTGATTTAGTAATCTGCAAGAATGCACTTGTCCAGGCTGACGTGGTGTTACCCGTAGCAAAGGTGAATTATTTTTAATAATCTTCTATGTAAACATTTTATTACCTTCTAGTTTTAATTTGTTTTACAGATTGTTACAAGTGATTTTATGCTCTTTTAAACATTTATAAATGTGCTGCTTCTTTGTTTTTATAGAGCTCACAGCCTCAGTGTCTTGTGACACAGGGACCATGACAGAAATTCATCTTCCAGAAGGTCCCAGAGCATCCACACCTCCTGAAAAGACCACGGTGTGAGGTGTCTGCTGTTGATTCCAGCTTCCACCTCAGTGACAGTGCAAGCTCAGTGAACTGTTCAAGGTAAAAAAAAATTAAAACATTTCTGAATTTTTAAGATATTAACAATTAAATAAGTATGTGATTACATCATGAAGGAGGCTACTGATTCTGGCCCTGTGACACTTGGTGGTCACCACCAGGTGGTGACGTGTGAGCTGATTCACCTGGTAAATAACTTTTAAATTAAATATTTTGTTTTTGCTATCAAAAGTAAATTAACTAATAACCTGCATTACTGCAGGACACTCAGCAAAATATGGACTCTACACCATGAGGCAGGCACACGTTAATAACTCTATAAGAGCACATAAGGTAAGCAACACCACATATTATTTTTATTACTGTACACTGTCCTGGATTTGTTTTCTTTCTGCATGATTTGTTTTCTTTCTGCATCTCATCATTAGCCTGGCTGATCACCTGATAACTCCTGTCATCTGGTTATGACAGCATGAGGATGTCCTCACACACCTGTAACCTATCAGCTCATCTGGCAGAATAGAGAGAGAAGAGACAACACCACATCTCCTGTTCCTGGAAAGCCTTCAGCCATCCTTCGATGACTGAGAACCTCCATCAGCTCTGTCTCCTGTCTGCCTACAATTATTATAATAAATATTGTGTTTGACAAGTTTTTTGTGCTGCCAAATATCTCATTTTGATTCCAGTTTTGATATTTTAATGGATATTTATAAATTACATTAATTGAATTATCACATTGTCGCATGTTTAACTAGCTCTATTGTGATTAACTAAACTAGCACCTCACTGTTAAAAGCTCGTTTTAATTTCAAGCATGTTTAAGTATTTATGGACATGAACAAAAACAGGAAATATATAAATTGAGATTTATTTAATTAATATAACAAATAAGGGGGAAAGAGTCATTGAAAGGCACATTCTTCTGGAAGTTCCTGATCCCGACGACATCAGCAGGAGACCAGCTGCAGACACCAGAGGATCACCTGCAACCAAGAGCAGCTAGTATCAGTAAATAAATAATGAAATCAGGGCAGTTTTAATGGGCTGAACACATTACAGAATAATTTTCTCATGGTATATTTTCATAACTTTATGCAGCAGACTAGCTTGAGCCCAGATCTCCTGGAGAGCTGCTATCCAGCATGTTTCAGTGGATTTTCCTGCTTTAACAGGTTAGATAAGCTGTTAAGCAGCTCAGCTGTTTGTTGCTGATTAAAACCAGGTGTGTTGATGCAGATAAATCTCTAAAACATGCTGAATACTAGCTTTTTAGGGCCATGGAGACAAACCCTGCAGCTAATCCAATGCTATGGCTAACGGCTACTTACGTTCAGAGATGGGTCTGTTGGGTCGGTTCCAGTAATTTCAGGCAACTCACAAGCTCAAAACAATAAGGCTCATGTCCGGTTGTCTCCTCCAAATAGACTTGGTCCCTTTCTTCTCGAGTGTCTGGGTAAGGAGGGGGAGAAACGTCCTCCACTTCTAATGACTGCTCAGAGTGAAGGGAGCTAGCTTCGTCTAGTTAGCCGTCTCTTCGTCACTGCCACGGCTCCGCCCTCTCGGTCCTCCAGGCAACGCCTACTAATGTTGCAGTTTTCAAAATTGATACGTGGGTGGGGTAAGACTCTGAGGCACACTTGACATGCACTTTAATTACCTGAAGATGTATTTATGGTAAATGATAAATGACCCTGTTGAGGCGAGCGGTGCTTTACTTTGTACTTGCGTGATGGAGAGACGTAGAGGCTTGAATGATCCTTTCCGGACACTGTTTTATTATATAGCAGAGTCATAACAGGATACAACTGATGGCTTCTCCATCTGTGACCATTGAGCTGAGCTCTCTCGTGTTCAGATGCAGCCGTTAAGTGAAACAGTAATGTAGAGAAGAAGAAAAAAAACGTACACCGGGCTACCGTAATACAATGAGTAAGGGCGCACTTCAACATTTACACTTAACAGACCCACACTTGAATAGCGCCTTTCAGAGTCAGAGGACTCTAAAGTGCTTTACATTTATCTTTTGTTGCATCCAATAAATTCCATTAATATAAAAAATAACAGTTTCGCTTCAAAAAGTGGTTTTCCTAAAAAGATTTTAACACAAAACAACCCACTCCCCTCAAAAAGAAATATTTAAGTAAAGCGCTAAACCATACAGACTTTTTTCTGTTTAAGTCGCAGCAGAGATTTAGAGAATTTATATTTTGATGCCTGTTTTACTGAGTTTTGTTCTCCTCTAATGCTTGAAGACTTAATTTTAAAATAAACCTCTTTTATCAATCTTAAACATTTATAGAGTGTGTGATGACATGTTCATCTTTTGAAAATAAAATTTTTAAATATGAAGTAACCTTATGATATCTTCAAATCTCACTTTAAAGTACCAGAGAACATTACTGATACTGATTTATTTTATATATCGTAATATATATTGATATCGTCCGATATGAAATTAATATCGCGATAGGATGTTTTTCCATATCACCCAGCCCTAGTAGAATGCAAGAGTTATGAACTCTCGTCTTTATTAAGTGTTGCCAGCCTCATTATTACCTGGGATGCCTGCAGGTTGTGTCACATCAACATGTTGACATGCAGTCGTTATTCCACCTCTAACAACTCCGAAATCAATCAATTATCCATGGAAACGATCGACATAACTCCACTGCCACTCATTTAAACGAGTCAGTTAATCTGCATGGATTGTGTTTGTTTCATATTCCATGTTTTATGCGTGTGTGTGTAGTAAAGTTTTGGATCTACCTGAGTGACAGCTCATTCATTGATTTGCTGTGTATTCACCGTTTAGACTAAAGTAGATTTTTATTTAGGTTTCCATCATGTGTTTAGATGCATGTGTTGAGATTCCCAGATTGATCTGTTTGTGCTGGTCTTGTTTTAGTCCCTCAGTGTTAACATGTGTCAGCTGCAATGCTTTTCTAAATGAAGGAACTCATAATTTCAAACCCCACCTTGCATAAATAAGGACGCTTCAGTCTAAGGCAGGGCTGGGACGCTGCGTCCTCCATACCTGATGTTCAGTTCATCACGTGGAGCAGAGAGATGGTCACCTTACCCCGGGCCTCGCTGTGACAGCCAGCAACTCACTCTGGAGCACCATCGGAAATCAATAATCCCTCACTCTTTAATTGTTAAAAAAAATATTATCCCTGTGTACAGCATCTCATCATCAGTCAGGACAGCCTGACTTTCATTTACTTTTGTCTTTTCCTCTAAAAGTTTCTCCTCTCTGAGAGGCTCTGGCTTGCTCATTGCTGGATTACATAACAGGCTGGATCGGATTCTGAGGGACCCGCTAAATTTGCATGCAGAAGCTCTCGTTTACTGCAAGCTGCTTAAAGCATTTGAGTGTCTTATCTCAGCGAATGTTTGCATCCGTTTTAACACTCCCACTTTTGTCTTGAACCAGCAGGAGACACGTGTTCCAGTACTTCACCGTGTTTAGTTTGGGATCACAGCAAATCACTTCTGTAGACACCGGTACCTTGTCTACATGCCTGAAGTAGAGTTTTGTGGAACTGATGTGAACAGTTTTAGACAGTGGCGGATTTAGCAATTTGGGGGCCCAAGGCGAACACAGACATGGGGCCCCTTACACTAAATTTTCAACAATCTTACCTTTAACTGGATTTGCGAAACTCTCCCCTCTTCTGACATGAGTTATTTTCCCTTTTCCTGTATTTCCCTCCTTTTGAGCGCTTTCAATATTTGCTCTGCTTTCTTTTTCCTGTCAGTGCTCCTGTACTTTAGCCTTAGTTATTTTTTTTTCTATTTTCCATTTTGGTCTATATTTTCCTCCCTTGAAACATTTTCCATTGTCTTTCCTTTCTGCTTCCTTTTGATGTTTACATCGAGAAACGACGTCACTTTCAGAAGTGAAAATAAAAGCTTTAATGACGCAAGCTGCTTCTTTCTCTTATTGGAGCCACTAGGATAACTCCATTTCATGCTTAATGTTTTGACTATCGCTTTGAGTTTGTAACGAACGCTGCCACCTCTCTTCTTCTTCTTATTTGTGGTCTTATGGCACTTGGCAAACAACCATTTGGTGCATTACCGCCACCAACTGGATTGGAGTGGAATGACTACAATCACTTACTGTTTGTGCATCGCCGTCCTAATAACCCTCTTATGACCATAATTATAACAGGGCCGCCTGGTATTTTTTTAATCTTATGGCTGTAAAATTGTAATACAAAGTGCAAAGTGTGTGTAACTCTTCTCCTTTTTTCAGATCAACCTCAGCTTTCAGTGTATGGTTTGTATTTAGAATTTTTTCTATTAAACCCTTTAAAAAATCAGCTTAAAAGTGAAAAAAGCAAAAAACGGATTTGAATTATTTTTTTACATTTATTACTGAACAGGAACTTCTAAATGACTGGGCGAACAATTTGGAATGAACAATTTAAACCTTGATCTGTAATGCATCTATTCTTAAAAAAGTGTGAACCTTGGTATCTTTTTGCAGTTTTTAGAACCATTTTTTTTGTAAACTTTCAGACGTTTTTATTTGATGTGGTAGGCCTTGAAGCAGTTTCTCTCCAGCTGCAGGCAGAGTCCTACACACCTCACACTGCATGGTGTGCTTCTCTTGCACTGCTATACCAAAAACTTTTGTTTTAGCAAATGTAACTATTTATTGTAAAAAGATAAATAATGCTGGAATGAAGCTGAATCTTAAAATTAGCAAATAGTTGAGGGTTGTTCAAATAAAAAAAATAAAATATAAAGACTGAACAAACGTTCATGGTTCACTGGAGATCTGTCCTTCTTCGTGGTCACTGTCTTCAGATATAAGCCTTCTGGGACACCTAATAGATTGTGTTGATTTTCTTTAAGGCATTTCCATAATTTCATGCTGGTTTTTATGCTAATTTGCTTCCCCGTTCCGTTATCCGCTTTCACTGCAGCGCTGCGCTCTGTTTCAATCAGGCTGTACAGCAGGATTGACCCTCGTAGTGATATTTTCCATAACTCTGATTGCTTCATGCTATAGATCGTTGGAAAGTTGCTTTCATGTACTTTTAGGAACCGTTGGAATTATTTGAATCTGATCAGCCATTCAAAAGTTATAAAACGGAGCATTTTGGATGACAAACAGCACGTCTCTGAATCTGTGTTGTGATTCGTTGCGCTCAAGACAGGGAATCCCGGTGGCTACCGTAATGTATTGTATATGCATGAAATGCCCCATTTTTAATATTTTCAGCACTTTTGGAATTTTAATGATATCTTGAACGGTTCAGGAATTATGGTAATGAGAAGCATGTCCAATTCCGTCTGTGGCGACAGGTTGGTAATAAGAATATTGTGGCATTAACAGAAGGGTGCCGGCGGTCAGGGCTAGGAGGCCCCCCATCACAAGGGGGCCCCAGGGGGCCGCCTACCTATGCCTAATGGTAAAACCGCCTTTGGTTTTAGACAGCAAAGCTGCTTTTGCATATCTGGGTCCGGGTCACAGGAGCAGCAACCCAAGTAATGAAGCCCAAACCAGCCTTTACACCAAAGTGTAAATGGGCTATGCGTGGAAGAGCAGCGGGTCTACTCCAAGTTTCTCCCGTATGTCCTACCTCCTAACCATATCTTGAAGGCTTAACCCTTCAGTGTACAACCATTTCAGCCGCTTGTATTTCAGATCTTACTCTGTCACAAGTAGGGATATCACGTCATTTATTTCACTTCTCAACACATCGTGCTCAACCAAAAGAGACAACCAAGACCAAACAGACATCATCGGACTGGAGTAATCAATCCCTGCACAATAGATTAATACAGCAACATACTAAAGGACCAAAAGGTGGTCCGTGGGCCCCTAAGCCTAACCCTAACACAATAATAGACCAAAAACGGCAAACATTTCTAGAGAGAAAGTTATGCATGTCTCAAAATGTTTGAACATCACTGGCTTGAGTAAAACCTGCATTCTAAGATGCCGTGGATCTAAATAATGCAGGAATTTGCATGATAAGATATTTTGTTAACTCCACAGTGGAACTTTAGTGTCTTTGGTAAATTTATCAGTAGCAAACTTTCCAAAATCCTACAGATGTAACAGAGGTTAAAGAAGCTCGAAGCTAATTGTTAGCTTGTTTTCAGTTCTCCAGTTAACTGTGAAACCTGAAGAGTACCACAGCTCCCAAACTGTGATTAGGCCCTCTACGGCTAATTAACTGCTCAGGCCACATGTGGCCATTTGCATGGTTTTAATGGAGGGACGACACTGCAGCTGTCCTTTGTCTGCCATTCATCCTACTGCTGCCCTTTATCCCACAAATTTGTACCATAAAAATGTATAAATAGCCAAAGCTGGCAGAGCTTTTATCACTTTCATTAAAGTGTCGGGGAATATTGTTTCATTTTCGTTCAAGCAGCACCGAAGGCGGCACTTTAATTACGAGACAGAGCAGGAAGTGGTGGGCTTTGTCCGAGCGGAAGGAAATTCCCGGTGATTCCTGGTGAGAATTCCTCATTATGACTCGAGCAGGTTCTGTTCGGTTTGATTATTCCTGTCTCCTCTCCTTTTGCGCACCTGCAATTCACAGCAACAGGCTGCTTAATTATTGATACCCATCCTCTTGGGCATGAAAACTGAGAGGACAGAAGAACAACAAAGGAAACAGAATT